GGAATGCCACCATTTGTACCAGTGCTTATTCATTCTGTTTTTTTCATCTATCCTTTTATTATCCACTACGAACCCATATCACCCTTAGCCTCCCTTCCCTCGCCTCCCTACTGCTTTTGTCTCTTGTCACCTCCCTTTGTTGCTGCCACCTTCCGAGCCTTGTCAGAGTGGGGATGCTGTGAGGCCCAAAGAGAGATGAAGGTAAAGGGAGGCGACGGAGGTGGGATCGGATTCGAGTGACATGCAGTGGAGGAGACTTTGTGGCGAGGCAGCGAAAGACAATTGACCGGTGGTTACACGGAGGTAGTAGTGACTGGGAAGGAGAGATAGGAAAAGAATGTAAAAGGTAATGAGAAAAGAACAAAAGCAGCCAAAAAAAAAGGGTAACAATTCAACAAATGTATCAATACACAAGAAGGTAAAACAGAATTAAATAAAGGTTACAAAACCAAATAAGGTGTCAATCGACAAAGAAAGATTATAAGATTTAAACAAGGATAATGAAAAATAAAAAAGGTATTACTAAATAAAAACTGTAAGAAAATTGAACAAAGGTGACAAGAAAAACGAAAAGTTATTATTAAATAAATGTAACAATGAAATAATAAGTAAATATTTCAATAATAAGAAACTGTTGAAATCTAAAAGACAAAATGTATGTGAACATTACTTTGTATGTGAACTATTAACTTGGTGTCTTTTCATTAGCCCAATGTCCTTTTATCTTCCATCATATATCTATAAATTGTACCATGTATGGAAATGGATGAAGGTGAATAAAAATTACAATTTCTCTTCTTCTCTTGTATTTTGTCTCTTGTTTTCATTTCTTTAGTATATTATAATACGTTATCAGCACGAGTGGCTCTAGCTAGTTCGTGATCATCGGTTCGTAGTAATAGATTTTTAGGTGTACATCTTCTGCAAGGTAATAATACATTCGACCTTTGTCTATTTACATAGTATCAAGTTTTCTGTCGAATGATTATGATTATGTCCAGTATGATATGCAATTCTTTGGTTTGTTTTTATGCGAATCATGTGATGATGATATATTCGCTGAGTTGTTCTTTTATAAACACACAAACATGCATGTTGGTCTTATTATGAATACAATCTGTTTTCATCTTGTAAAAATAAATAAACAAACATTCATATTTTGTTTGTTTATATATATATATAGAATCTCCCCCTTCTCGTATTTGTTATATAATATACATGCATATAAACCATTTATTATATGTTGATTACATGCAGTTTGGTTTAATACAATTTGCAAATGTACATCTTCTATTGATTAATCACTTGTCCTAGCTAATTAGAACAGAGGCATGCACTGTAACTAATGATTTGTGGCTCCTTTATTTATTCGCTTCTGTTTGTATGCACACCTTGTATAGTGCAATATTTTATAAATTTGGTGGATTGATATATCTTCTAATGGTAATTATAGCATTTCTAAACAATGTCTAACATCACCAAAAGAGAATTTGCTGAACTTGCCGTTGATGGCAGTAACTATACTTGACTTGGGCCTTGGATGTTGAAATCTACCTGGATTCTTGTGATTTAAGAAGCACTATTATTCTAGCTTCTCAGAGCACCTCTGCCCAGAAGGCAAAGACATTGATTCTTCTTCGTCATCATCTTAACAAAGACCTGAAAAATGAGTACCTTACTGAAGGATCGCTTTGACCCAATAGACAGCTATTATGCTGTCGCAAGTACAGTATAATTGGTTGAACTTGTGATTTTAGGATTTTAAATCCGTGACTGAATACAATTCAACTCTCCACCGCATTGTCTCACAGCTGAAGCTCTGTAAGCAGAACATTACAAGGCTGAATTAATTGAAAAGACCCTCTCTACATTCCATGCAAGTAATCTTATACTCCAACAGCAGTACATGACCAAAAACTATTCAAAACACTCTGAATTGATCTCAGCGTTACTAGTTGCAGAGAAACACAACCAACTTCTGATGCGCAACCATAATGCTAGACCAGTTGGTTCATAAGTTGTGACTGAAGCACATGCCGCAAATCAGAGTAATACTCATTGCCGTGGACATGGTAGAGGTCATGGACGTGGTCGCGGGTCTTATCGTGGTGGTAGCGATCATGGTCGTCACAATGCTAATGGTCTTCAGGACTGTGGCAAGGGTCAGAACAAGGATAAATCTCCTTCACACAAGCCTAACTCTCATCAACAGGTTGTAAATAACAAGCAAGCTTGCTATCGGTGTGGATGTGAGGACCACTGGTCTCGCACATGTCGTACATCGAAACATTTGGTTGAGGCCTATCAGAGAATGCTGAAGGACTCAAAGGGGAGGGCAAAACAAGGTGAGAAACATCATGCCAGTTTGTCTGAAGCAAACATGATCCTGAAAGATGACAATTATGATGATAACCTGTTGAAGATGGGAGATATGAATCTGGACGAAGATGACTTATTGAAGATGGTGCTTGATGATTTTAGTGACCATGAGTGACATGTTATTTATCACTATCTATGCATGTTTTATTAGTCTATTTCGTTTTTTTAGACTTGTTCTAGTTGCTTTTGTTAAGATAATTTGGAATTGTTCTAGACTTATTTTGTATGTTTTTATAAGACAATTTCAAATTTGTATGAGTTTGTTTAAATGATTATGCCTTTACCTTATTTTTGTTGTGCTTATATGAATATTTCATTTTTTTAAATAACACGAAAATCTCGCATACAACCCATGGAGAAGGAGACTATCTTGTGCTTGGTAGGTAGTGCTACCACACATACTATCCTGAAAGATAGAAAAATTTTCCAAACTTTGACTGAAAAACAAGGAAGTGTAACCACTATTGCTAACAACAATGTGTTGATAGTAGGCTCCGACAGAGCTTCACTAATACTTCCTATGGGTACGAAATTAATTATCAATGATGCATTATTATATCCAAAATCCAAATGTACCCTTCTTAGTTTTAAAGATATTCGGTCTAATAGTTTTCATATTGAAACCAAAAATGAGAATGGTGCTGAACATCTTCTCATGACTCAGTCAATTAGATGTCGGAAGCAGGTTATAGAGAAGCTTCCATCTATCTCCTCAGGATTGTACTATATATATATCCGACCTAATACTAACCATATTGCGATGAGTTTAAAATTTAAAGACCCAAATTCATTTAAATTATAGCATGAGTGATTGGGTCATCCTGAGCAAAATATGATACGTCGGATAATATTAAATTCAATTGGGCATAATATGCCAAGCAGCAATGTCTCCTCATCGTTAGACTATATTTGTGAGTCTTGTGCTAAAGGAAAACTTATAATACGCCCTTCTCGTACTAAAGTGAATGTTGAAACTCCCATTTTCCTTCAAAGGATTCAAGGAGATATCCGTGGATCTATTCATCCTGCATCAGGACCATTTAGATACTTTATGGTCTTGATCGATGCCTCTACTCGGTGGACTCATGTCAACTTGTTATCCACCCATAATAATACCTTTGCTAAATTAATAGCAAAGATAATTGAATTACGAGCTCAATTTTCTGATTTTCCAATTAAATCTATTCGAATGGATAATGCTGCTGAGTTCACATCCAAATCATTTGATAATTTTTGTATGGCATTGGGTATTAAAGTAGAGCATCCGGTTCCTTATGTCCACACTCAAAATGGTTTAGCAAAATCGTTAATTAAGAGGATCAAATTAATTACTAGGCCATTATTACAAAATTCAAAACTACCTATTTCTTATTGGGGACATGTCGTTTTACATGCTGCTGTGTTAATCCAAATCCGACCCATTGCATATCATGATTATTCCCCTTACAACTAGTGGGTGGTAAAGAAGCAAACATTTCCCATCTGTGTTTTTCGGATGTGCAGTTTATGTTCTAATATCACCACCCAAGCGTACCTCTATGGGCCCTCAGCAAAAGCTAGGTATATACATCGATTATGAAACTCTGTCAATTATAAAATACCTAGAACCATGACAGGGGATCAATTTACTGCTCTGTACGCTGATTGCATATTCGATGAAGATCATTTCCCGACAGTAGGGGGAGATAAACACCAAAAATTAAATGAATTTTGGAAAATATCGTGGTATGAAAAATATCTTCAATATTTAGATCCACATACTAGTCAGACTGAATTTGAAAGTTCATAAGATAATTAATTTGTAAAATGTGGCAAATAAGCTGCCAGACGCATTCACTGATCATAAAGGAGTGACCAAGTCCCATATTCCTACTGTAAATGCACCACAAAGAGTGGAAATGCCACAGGGACTGAGTATATAAAATGGTGCTCCACTACGCCAGAAGCGTGGGAGACCGATCGGTGCGAAAGATAAGAATCTGCGGCAAACTAAATATAATAAAAAAAGTCAGTCACTCCCAAAACCTACTGAAGAGGATCTTCCTGAAGGCAAAAGCCCCAGTAAAATTACACGTGTACTTGATAATCATCGCACTGGGGTTGTGGTTGCGGGACAACCAAATCCAAATGTTATGGGAAATGATGAAGATTTGGTGGATATAAACATAGAAGTAACTACAAATTTTGTGAATACCGAAAAAACATATAATAGAAATATGACAGTTATGGACAATATATTTGCCTCCATGATTGCTCTTTCCATCTCCAATGATAAACTGGATCCAAAGTCTAAGTCAATAACAGAGTGCCGGAAGCGCTTAGACTGGGAGGGATGGAAAGAAGCAATAGAGGTAGAGCTCGACTTGCTAAATAAAAGAAAAGTATTCGGACCTGTAGTCCGTACACCTGATGATATTATCCCTGTAGGATATAAATAGGTCTTTGTACGAAAAAGAAACGAGAATAATGAGGTGGTGAGATACAAAGCGAGATTAGTAGCTCAAGGGTTTACGCAGAGACCAGACATTGATTTTAATGAAACATATTCTCCGGTTATGGATGGTATTATGTTCCGCTACTTAATATCAATGGCAGCAACAATGAATTTAGATATACAATTGATGGAAGTCGTGACAGCATATTTATATAGGTCACTAGTTGCTAATATTTATATGAAAGTCCCTGATGAATTTAAAATCCCTGAATTGAGAGAAAACGAGAATCGCAACATGTATAGCATTAAATTGCAAAGGTCGTTATACGACTTAAAACAGTCGGGTAAAATATAGTATACTTGACTCAGTGAGTTCCTCCTGAAGCCTTGTGTGTTTATAAAGAAATCCAAAAATGGCTTCTGTATCATCTCAGTCTATGTTGATGATATAAATATTATTGGAACGCACAATGAGCTTACAGAAGCTAGCTCATGCCTAAAGACGGAGTTTGAAATGAAAGACTTAGGAAAAACCAAGTTTTATCTTGGCCTGCAGATCGAGCATTACCCAGAAGGAATTTTTCTACACCATTCGACCTACATGAAAAAGGTTTTGGAAAGATTTTATATGGATAAATCTCATCCACTTAGCACACCAATGGTCGTCCGGTCCCTCGAAGTGGATAAAGACTCATTTAGACCCAAAGAAGATAATGAAGAAATGTTAGGGCCAGAAGTTCCCTATCTGAGCACCATTGGAGCACTCCTCTATCTCACAAATTGCACCAGGCCTGATATTGCATTTGCGGTGAACTTGCTAGCAAGGTATAGTGCTTCTCCTATAAGGAGGCATTGGAATGACGTTAATAATATCCTTCGCTATCTTCAAGGTACAAAAGATCTTGGACTATTCTATAAAAGAAACCAAGATATGACATTGATGGGCTATTCGGACGCTGGCTACATATCTGATCCCCATAACGTCAGATCCCAGACTGGTTATGTCTTTCTCTATGGTGGTACCGTCGTTTCTTGGAGGTCTATTAAGCAGACCATGGTGACTACTTCTTCTAACCACTCAGAGATTATTACTTTATATGAGGTTTCACGAGAATGTGTATGGTTAAGATCGTTGATACGACACATTCATGGATCTTGTGGTCTAGCAAAAGACGATATTACCCCCACTGTCCTTTATGAGCACAATACAGCTTGTGTTGCACAAATGAGTAGTGGATATGTAAAAGGAACCATGAAAAAACATATTGTGCTAAAATTCTTTTATCCACATGAGCTCCAAAAGAATGGCGAAACCACCATCGAAAAAGTTTGCTCAAGTGACAATCTTGCAGATTTGTTCACTAAATCTCTGCCTACATCAACTTATGAGAAATATATTCACAATATTGGTATGCGCAGACTTGAAAGACTATCGTCTTCAGGGGGAATAAATTCTTAAAGAACAATCCTGAAGATTGGGACCTGAAGGTCTATCATCATATTTTTCCCCTTTTCGCTAAGTATTGTCCTACTGGATTTTTCTTAGCATAGACTCATAAAATTATCATCATCAGGAGGAGCGAATTTTCAATGCAATCCCGAAGATTGCGCCTTGAAGGACTATAGTTGTAGTTTTTTTTCTTTTGCTAAATTTTGTCCCACAAGATTTTCTTAGCCAAAGGTTTTTAATGAGGCGCGCAACTAATGCAACATAATAATCTACTTATGTCGTGTACTCTTTTTCTCGACTGGTTTTTCTCCCACTGGGTTTTACGAATGAGGTTTTTAATGCGGCATTGACATCTCGAAGTAATGTCCAAGGGGGAGTGTTGAAATCTAAAAGACAAAATGTATGTGGACATTACTTGGTATGTGAACTATTAATTTGGTGTTTTTTCATTAGTCCAATATCATTTTATCTTCCATCATGTATCTATAAATTCTATCATGTATGGAAATGGATGAAGGTGAATAAAAATTACAATTTCTCTTCTTCTCTTGTCTCTTGTTTTCATTTCTTTAGTATATTACAATAGAAACAACAATTGAATAAATGTAACAAGAATAACAAAAATGTATTACTAATCCATAAAAGTTAAAAATAAGTACACAAAAATAATGAAAAACCAAATAATTAAAGATAACAAAAACATAACAAACTTTCTCACTTTTCTCAACCACCACCTCTTCCTGATCTCTCTAGGGAGGGATCTAAAGGTCCATGGGATAGGTGAGTAACAAGGAATGAAGACGAAGAGGTCGATGGGATCAATAGGTGAGTGACAAGGAATGAAGAGGAAGAAAACATGAGTAATTTACGAATTTCATGTGGGGACAAGGAGTGGAATAGTGGCGGACCCAGGAATCTTTTTTTTGGGCAGTGAGGAGGGAGAATAGTTACCTATTTACCTAAACTAAAAATAATAATATTATATAACTATAGTAACTGATGGGAATGCACTCGGTGTTTTCTTGGATTTCTAATGTTGCAACTTCGTAATTTAATTGTTTGGGCTCATTGACTTGATTGTTGGAATTTAAATGTACTTTTACTCTCCGATGGGCTAACTCAAAGTGCTTCTAATTAATGTTTTAAGATAGATGGGGTGCAACTTATCAATATTATTATTATTTTGTTTGGGGGGATGGTAAACTAATCAAGTACCTATATGCAATTTATAAAATTTTAGGGGTGCAACTGCATCTCTGCAAGTGTGCCTACATCCGCCCTTGAGTGGAAGCATGATTCGTTAAGTTCAAGGGCCTAAAAGCTTCTGACCATTTTAAAATGCTATTAGGGAGGTTTTCTGCAAAACTTGAAATATTTGGATACTAACAATATTAGCTTAAAGTGAACAAGTTTTAAATGAAAATTTAATTAGTAAACAAATCAAGTTATAATTGATAAAAGGGTTAGTTGCGAATATAGCTCTTATAGTATCACCCAATTTTGAATAGATTCCTTGTACTTATATTTGTGCGAATAGACCCTCTTGATTGATCTTTTCTGACTCTTAAAATTATTAAACGGTTTTGAGGAGGTAGATAGATCCCCTATGGTTCTATTGATGAGTATAGGCCTTCAGCTTGTAATTCTTTTGACTTATAAAAGAGTCAAAAAAATTCACTATGGGGGTGTATTGTTACTTGGGTCAGTGCTACGAGGGGTCTGTCAACAATTGGGTTATACTACGTACATGGTGTCCATTTCCAATTGATAATATTGATTAGTTGTGAGTGCAAAAAATTATTTGATTTTCTAAATGATCTCTCGAACTGAATTTGAATAAATAATAATCAAACTAATTGATAGTTATTCATAAACTTCTACCCCTGTGAACATCCGTTTGAAAAGGTAAGCATTCACAAACTGCTAGGGGTATGATACATGAGATGAATGTAGAAAACAAGCTGATTACTATCTATAGACACTAAAAAGTGTCATGAAACGAAAGAGAGTCGAACCTCACTATAAGTACGACGAGGGTCGTCACAACAATGAACCTTAGCCTCAATTCATGAAGTTTGTCTCAGTTCAATGGGACAAACAACACCTTACCCCATCAAAAGACGAAGTTCGCCTAGAAACGAAGTTCGTCATTGAAGATGAATTTCGTCAAAGATGAAGCCGCAGTTAAGCTCACCAAAGATATAGCAAAGTGAACGAACCTCGTCAGACAAACAAACCTTGTTTGGAAAACGAACCTCGTCAGACGGACGAACCTCGTCTGGAAAACGAACCTCGTCAGATGGACGAACCTCGTCTGAAAAACGAACCTCGTTAGACACCGTTTCAAAGGGCTACATTAAATGAGGGTTAATGACCAATAACTCACCCCTTTAAGGAGAGTTAATGTCCACTAAGTCATCCATTTAAATGGGAGTTAATGATCATTAACTCCCTCATTTAAAGGGAGTTAAAGCCCATTAACTCACTTCATAATACTCCTAAGCCTATAAATAGGCATGATCAACATAAAAGAAAAGGAGGAGATTGAGAGGCTAGTGAAAAAATCCTATCTCTCCTCCACTCTCTTGGATCTTCATAGATCATTGGCTAATCATTTGACCTTAGAACATTGAAACTCATAACGAGCATGACGAGGGTCATTACAATGATGAACCTCGTCTCAAACAACAAAGCTTGTCGTTAGAAAAAAGATTCGAAGCTCGTCATTGGATATGAGGTTTGGAGTTCATCAACGGAGCGAGGCTCGACATCAAAGAGGAGGCTCGCCACGCAGCAAGGCTTGACATCAAGGATGAGGTTCGCCAACGCAGTGAAGTTCATCACCTACATTAAATCAGGCTGTAGCGGCCACGAAGACCCAGTCAGCCACGTGGGCTAGATTCAAGGAGTCAGTTGCGCCACGACTCCACAATTTTAGCGCATCAGTTACGCCCACGACTCCACGATTGTAGCACGACCGTTACGTGCTCAAACTCCTATAAATAGCCGCAAGCAGCTATGAAGAGGGTTGATTAATTAAGATTTTTAATCATCAGAAATCGGAGCTTTTGTGTGTAAGTCCGGAGATTGAACCTCGATTCCAGCCGGCTAACGAAGGTCAGAAGTTCTTGTGATATTGTTCTGATCGTCAACGGGAGACAAACTCGAATCAAGCATCAGGGAAAGCATCCTTTCACCACCTAGAACCCACGTTAAACAAAGAGAGGCTAAATTAATCTTCTCTTCATCTGTAATCGAGAGAGAGTATGAGTGATTGTAAGGGTTTTATACTAAATGATTGAACCCAGTCTTCTTAAAATAAGAGAATCAATCCCAACATCAATTTTTCGACCCTACAGACGATGACGACCACAGTGGGAGAAGCTATTCTCTTCGACGAGATGGTGGTGGCGCAATTAGATAAGATTGCAGTGGGAACGGACATCGAAACTCTGGTCATCGAATTTGACCAGTCCAAATACGAGGAGTACCTCTTCTCTGGTAAGTCTAGTCCCACGAAGGCATGAAAGTTTCATCGTGTCTCGTATGAGACTTCAGTCCAAGTGGCTTCTGATAATTCAACTCAAGTTAGTCTCAAGAAAAGTCCAAGCCCCTCAAAGAGGTGACTCCAGAAACTAGCCGTAAGGCTAAGAAATGAGTTGTTAAACAACATAGCCGAACTTTGGCTTCTACCAGCCAAATTATGTCTTTGGATGACGAACCTCGCTCAATTCTGACTGAAGCAAAGGTTTCCGTTATTCCATTGTCGAGATGCGCTCGACAATGTCAGCGTCAGAACCAAGCTCGCCGTAGGGCTCGAGCGTTGGTCTCGCTAGACGGCTTTCATTATTGACTGAAGGTTAATCAACCTAACATCAACAAGTCTGATGAGGGTCAGGTGAATAATGAGCGTCCAAAAGACGGACCTCATCCTCTTACCCTATGTAGGCATCGAAAATTGCCTATAGGTCTCCACGAACAGCTCAGTGTTAAGAAATGATGATGAACGTCAGCCTATAGGTCTCCACGAACAGCTCAGTGTTAAGAAATGATGATGAACGTCACCATCTGGTTCACAGAAGCTTGATTGATGTCGGTGAACGCTTGAAGTAAACCGACGAACTACGTGAAACAACGAAACTTCGGAATGATGAAGATATGAACCGATCGGGAACCTTGTATCGTTCACAAACGGTGAAATACCCTCCGTGTCTCATTTATTCCACGGATGATTTAATCATTGGAACTTGTAGAACTCCTTGTCAGCTTTCCAACATACTTAGAATTGCTCAAATCCGAGTTCAGACGAAGAAAATACGACGGAAACAATCAAAGATGCAAAAATACGTCTCAAACATAAGAGGAGACATCCCGAGGTGTCTCGGCCAAGGCCGAGACACCCTAGGGTGTCTCGGCCCAGGTTGAGACACCCTGGGGTGTCTCCAACGCAGAAATGGCCTTTTAGGTGGTTTTAACCGCTCGGAACCCTGTTGTGCCTATAAATACAAGCCCCGGAGCCTCATTTTTTAAGATCTGGAGTTTTGGAGAATTGGCGAAGCCCTGCCGGATTGAAGACTGAAGGTGAACGGATTTCAGAGAGGAGGAGGAGAGATCGGATCGAGTTCTTCAACGCAAGAGAGAGAGAGAGAGATTCGTCAGATCTACAGTTTCCCGGATCCGTTCCTTAGGATTATCCCGTTGTAGTAATCTTAAGAAGAGTGATTATCTCGCTTCGCCGAGATAAGAGCTACGGTTTTCTCGATCTCTTCGCAGATAGACGAAGCTCTGCCCAATTTTTTAGCAATCAGATCTGATCGATGGTGGTCCACGGATAAACCCCGACACAGGCAAAGATCTCACGCAAGCAGAAGACCGATAAACGATCTCCCTGCGTTTGTTTGACAAAGTTGTAAACTGGTTTTATTTTCATTGTGTAAGGAGATCTTATAAAAAGATCAACTTTTTATTTTATTCGAGTTTATTGTGATGACTAAAGTTGTAATAGATTC